CGTCTGATATGATCTGAGCTCCTGTCCAGCCGGGACAAGTATGCAGCCTTGTGCAGGGCAGTCCTCTTATACCACTCCGCCTCCTTCTTCCCCCTCCCTCAGCGCCCCGGGGTGCAGGCGGGGCTGGAGCTTGGATACTTCTTCCTGCTGGCTCTGGTTATCTGAACCCCTGAGGCAGCCAAAGCAATTGGTATCACCCCACTCTCTTTCCACCCTTCTTCTTGAAGCCAGGTTGCCAGGTCGCCAGGTCGGGCGGCACCCAGCTCACTCACCCACACACATTCTGGCTCTGGAGGTCAGGGCTGCATGGGGGAGGACCAGGTGCTTCGGCTTGGAGGGGTGGGAAAGGGGTGGAGCAAAGGTTGGCCCTGCTATGGCTCCTCCCTTGGACCTTTCTCCTACCTTGGTCCCCTCTCAGGGCTGGCCTGGACCCTACACCCTAAATCTGACCAGCCTGTGGGGCTTATATGGGTTGCATCCCTCTTGCCTTTGAGCCTGAACCAGGTATAATAAAAAGGAGTAACATTCATATCATTCATAGGTTTATCTGTATATTGTGTATTGATAACAAAAGTGTCTGTACTAAGTATTATTATATAATGTGATTTTTTTCTTTTAGTACTAGGTATCAAGTCCTTCATGCAGAGCTATATTCCCAGTGTTTTTTTAAAATTTTGAGATAAGGTCTTGCTAAGTCACTAAACTGTCCAGGCTGGGCTCAAATTTGTGATTCTGTTGCCTCAGCCTCACAGAGTGCTGGGGATTACAGACATGTGTCATTGAGCCTGGCTTTTAAGTTTTTTTCCTTGTACAATATCCGGAACACTTTCCCCTGTCAGTACATTTGATCATTTCCCCTTCCTTTTGAACATTGTGTAATATTCCATACTATTGTGTTAGTATTGTGACTTATGTAATTGGCCTCAAATTGAAGTTCATTTGGGGAGTTTTGGTTGTAACAGGGATGAGCCATCCATTCATTTTTGCTCATGGTGTCCACCACAGAAGTATCCACTGAGTATCTATTGGGTTCCAGGAACCATTCTGGATACTGGGGGCATAGCAGTGAACCCCCCAGCCTGAGACTCCTGCTATTGTAGATCTGCCTGCTCTAGTGGGCTAGAGACTATGAATGCAAAAATACGCACATGGAATATAGAATTCGCTAGGTGGTAGTAAGTGCTGTGGAAGGAAATAAAAGCAAGGAAGAGGGTTGAAGGGATACTGGTGCCCTGTCCTCAAGGACCCCTGGGATGATCCTATCATGTTAGAAGGTCAGAAGACACCATTTGAAGGTGGCTCTTCAACCAAAGCTTGGAGGGAATGAGGGAGGGGCTCAGGCGGAACCTGGGGGAGGTGAGTTCCAGCCAAGTGAAGAGGCAGATGTGTTAGATGAGCAGCATGGTGAGTGTCCTAGCAGGAAAGTCATTGTACTCAGAGCTGAGTGAGGGGCAGAGGAGAGGCAATGGAGCCAGAAATATAACAGGGTTCCGAAAGTCTGGAGCCCTGAAGGTCAGACTCAGATGGGAACCATGTTGTGATTATTATTTCAACACAAACTCCTAAAAGCAGAGTTAACATCAATTTCTACATCAGACCCGATGCAGTCTTTAATCCTGAGCTCAAACCCACTCTCAGTCCTGATCCATAACCCAATTCCATCTTCCACTCCTAATCTGACCCATAATAGATATTATTGCTGCCTACCCAAGCACTCACTCCTTTACATCTCTTTCTGACCCGATTCTGCTTGGATAATCGTTTATCCTCATCATGACCCTAATGCTGGGTGAGCCAAGTGTAGGAGACACACTGTGCTTGACACTGATTGGTTTAGAGGTGGACAGGTGATTCTTGTCTGGCCAATGGGGAGTGAAGGAAAGCTGGGTGAGCCAAGTGCAGGAGACACACTGTGCTTGACACTGATTGGTTTAGAGGTGGACAGGTGATTCTTGTCTGGCCAATGGGGAGTGAAGGAAAGACCACTGGGAATTTCTGAGAACAATTTTTGCTATCTTCAGAGTCACTGGAAGGGTTCTTGTTTCTTCTGCTAGATGATGTCCATTCTGGATGCAAATTCTGGCACTGTGGCAGCTCTCCTGGGACCATCAGGGTAAGTGGATGGTGGATCAAGCGTAAATACTGCAGACGGCCAAGCAAAGTGATGATCGTCTGGGTCTTTGATGACACTGTTGTGTTGGTAAATTATCCAACTATGGAATCTCCTCATCTTGTGGCTCTGCCAGGCTTCCTGTCTGGGATAATTATTTGGTCCTTACAGCCAAATTCATCCTTACCAACACCTCGGTGTTGAACCCAAATCCCAACTTGGATCCCAAATAAGATCAAGAACCATGAATCCAAGTCCAGTTTTACCTTGACTCCTTATTTGTAACCATGGCAGTCCACAAGGCCAATGTTCCTCTAGTGCTGGCTCTCTCCCTGGCCATCGTCCCTCACCTGGCTCAGACCTGGTTCTGTAACATGTTTAGTGAGCATGTGTTGAGCACCAACTGTATGATAGGCTGGGTGAGATGCTGAGCATGCAGTGATGCATAAATCTAGGTAGAATCCCTTTTCTCAGAGTGCTGACAATCTTGTGTAAACAGACAATAAGGAAATAACCCTAATAAACAACTATAAAATTGCAGCTATAAAATTTGTTCTGAAGGAGAGATGCAGGGGTTCTGAAGCACGCCAGGCAGTTGGACCCAGGAAGCGACAGTGAGCTGAAAGCTGAAAGCACAGTTAAGTGTTAACTGGAAGAACATGGGAGGAGCAAGGAGAGCAATGTGTGGAGGAAACAGCACCCACAAAGGCCCAGGGCTGGAGGCAGGGTGGATGCAGCCCAGGGCCAGACCACAAAGTGCCTTTCATGGCACAGGGCGAGTCTGACAAAGAAGAGTGCTTTGGACTTCAGGGAAATACCATAACCAGATTTGTATTTTCAAAACATCACTCTGGCTGCTGTTTAAGGAGGGATTTAGGAAGACGGGAAGATGTTGGCAGACCATGAAGGAGTCATTGTTGTCTAGATGAAAGATGATGGTGATTTGGATAAGGGCACTGGCAGGTGGAGATGACATTAAGTAGACAGATTCTGACTGGATTTATGAAAGAGAATCAACAGGCTGTGGTCATGCAGTGGATGGACAAGTGGAGACACAGAAGATGTCAAGGCTTTAAATTCTTACTGGGGGTGGTGGTGCTATTAATGGATAAGACATGGTCAAGTGTGGTTGGTGGCTTCTCAGAAAGGCAAAAAGGCCTCAGAGGCTGGCCTCATGCATATCTCTAATGCCCACTGACACCAATCTTGACATGGCCCCAGGCTTAACCCCAGGCTCCTACTTGTACTTCATGTGAAGCCAAAATCTTGCTTCATCCTTGACCAACTTCAGTATATACCTAAACTCAGACCTAAACTTGAGTTTCTGACCCAGTTATTAATGCAGGCTAGAATCCAACTTCAGCTAACCTCAACTCTGACTCTTGATCTGATCCTGAACTCCTAACCGTAAGTCAAACTGAGCCTGGACTCACACAATGAATACCCACCATAGCCTCAGTCCCCAAAGTACCTCATAGACAACACAGACTTCAGTCTCAACTCCTGACATATTGTAGGAAGCCCACGCTGATTCCTGCCCATAAACCCACCCAAGTGGCCATCCAGCACCAACCCTAATGCTGTCTCAAACCCACCCTTGTCCTTATTTCCAAGCCAATTTCTACTGAAATCCCAATTTCATTTCCATTACCAACTTACCTGCACTCCACCTTCATTTCCCCAACTCCACACACAATTTTAACCTTTTATTCCACACAAACTATAAAACAAATCCTTTCAACTAACATCATTATAATGTGGATCCCATGCGAAGTTTAAACTAAGTCACTAAACCTGATGCAAATTTCAACCTCAGTCCTCAACACTCTCAGTATTCTGTTAAAAGGGGAGAAGAGCTGTGCTACTCCGGAGCTCTGCTAGCACTCCCAAGTCACCAGATGTGTTTGTATGTCTGTCACTCAGAGTTCTGGTCCTAAGTAATCTGGCTCTGTTGCTAAATCCTTGTCTTCATAAGCAAAGATGTTCATTGTTGTTTTCTTTACCACCCATGTCAGACTGGAAAATATATGAGAAAACTAAATAAATACTTGTTTGCAAGCCTCTGGCATCCACAGATCCACTGCCTTTATACTCAGTCCTGCTTTGATCTCTGAGCCATTCTGCCATCTCACTGGGGTAGGGTAGAAAGAAAGTGTCCTCACAAGTTAGTCCAACCCAGGTTTGTTGCCTAGCCTGTGACTTCATTTTTCTGAGTCTGTAGCCCTTCTCTAAAGTGGAAGAGAGCAAAGCCTACTTCTTGAGCCAGCTGAGAGGGTTCCATAAATTATGGATGGCAGATTGAGGGGCGCATATCAGGCACTGATTTAACACCACCTTCCTTACCTCACTACCCAGGGAATGAAGCAGTTTCAGTATCTTGTCTATCTGCACGTAGTGTGATATGTGCTTCTCAGACCTTGTCTCTATTCTGCCTCACATCCGCCCAAGTAAGAACTGTCATCTTCATTTTATAGATGAGGAAACAGAAATTTAAGAGAGATTAGATCACTTGAGCAAAATTGCATAGCTAAGGAGGAAGAAGGGTCAGAATTTGAATGCTGGGAATGCAGAAGCCTATAGTATTACCACTGTACACACACACACACACACACACACACACACACACACACACACATATACACACACACTCAGCATGAAATTCCTCGTTCCACCCTCGCATGCCTTGAATCTCGTTTGTCTCAAAGCAGACTCTTAATGATGCATTCCCTGGTCCTACTAATGATGCTCACCCCCCACGTTGGTGAGAGCCTAAATTCCTGCCCCCCTGTGTCCTCTGAGGTTAACATCAATACCTATTACTAAGTTCCACCCAGACACCCAGCTTCATACCTCTCTCACCCTCAGATTCATGTCCTAAACCTTTGTCTGATGACTCACCTTCCGGCTCATGACCACACATGAGAACTGGCATCTGACCATTCTGCCAGCTGTGCCCTGCCCTAAGGGATCCAGGACACAATGACTCTAGCACCTCCTAACTCAGCCTCTGGGTTCTGATGGACCATTGTTTTTGACTTTCTGGATTCCCTTCCCCCTTCTTTTAAGAACAACACTTCACTTTGCGGGGAGATGCTTCCTCATTTCCTGTAGTTCTGGTGAAACTGTCCATCATAGTTGTCTAATCCCACCAACCCACTTGACTCAGGTCAAGCCAATAAGATCCATGCTTTCTCCCTGGCAACAATGACAAACCTAAGGAGCAGGCCCTGTTCACCTTGTCAGAGCTGGAGATTCATTTGGACAAGGCATCTTATACATCCACATCTCTTGTGGAGAATGGCCTTCTAACAAACTTGGGCAGCCATATTTCATATCACATGACTTCAAATGGCCAATGATTGACTCAGATTGGTCACCTGACCAGAACACAATCAAACAGTTGGCCACTGAGTTACCTATGATGTGGTTGGATGAGAAAATGTGAGGTGGACCAGTCATATTCCTTCTCTCTCTGTCTCTTTCTTTCTTCTGCAATACTGAGGATTAAAACTAAGGGTGCTCTACCACAGAGTTACATACCCAGCCCTTTTTATTTTAAGGCAGATTCTCACTAAATTGCCTAGTCTGGATTTAGATTAGTCCTTTGTAAGAAGATAAAGTACTCTGAGAAATCCTAGCAGAGTGGCTGTTTATATCCTTGTAATAACCAACCTTCTTATGTTTCCCTAAGAAGATTTATGTTAAGCTTTTGCTCTACTGACAACTTTCGCAAATGCTTTTTGTTCCACACTTTAATTTGGGCACAATGTTCATTTTTTCTATTGATACCCCTAAACAGCTGGTACATTGTGAAAAAAATTTCTAGACTTTGGAGGATTTTCAAAGTATTATTTTCTTACCTGTTGGTTGGTTTCATGAGTGTTGACTTGTGAATATTTACTGTACTCTTCTATGCATATCTAACAACTGGGAAAAAGTAGGGAGCAACTCCCCATGATCTTTAAACACTTAGGCTGCTCAGAAAAATTGAACAAAAACTTTTTCAAGACTGCTTTCCATAGACTGGCCTCCTTGATATTTTAATATCCTTTCTCCCCTAAAATCATCCTCCCACTCACTCAAGTCTTATCAAAAAAAAAAAAAAAAGAGTGGGGAGAATTATTTTGGGTGCTGGTACTGGCCATAGAATCCATGGGGTCCTGGTCTTTCAGATCTCCTAAAAGCCAGACACCAAGATGCATCCCCTTCTGATCCATCCCTCCTCACAGGGCCAAAACACAGACAGGCAAGCAAGCAGCAGGGGTCTGTTTATTGAAAGAGATCCACAGCTTTTTCTGGGATCAGCCCTTATTGCCCATGGTCTTCTTGATCCAGTTGAGGTAGCGGCAGATGTTGGTATAGACACCAGGCTTCTTGGGCCGCCCACAGGGGTCTGAGCCCCAAGATGTGATGCCCTGGAGGACTCCATTACACACCAGTGGTCCTCCAGAATCGCCCTGGAGGAGATGGGTAGAGAGCAAGTGCCCAAACTTTCTTCCTGTTGCTTCTAGTATTTATACTAGTTCTTTAATGTGATTGGTCCCCTATAGCCAATGAGGATAAAAGCATTGTCCCCTGAGGCCAATCAGAAGTGAGAAGATGGGGCATCTGATGTACAAGAGGCAGACAGGGTGTCTAAGGGCGATGGCCAAAATCGAGGCCAATGAGGGAAGAGAGTGAAGGAAGTCCAGAGGGTGCAATCCAGAGAGAAGGCTGTGGGGGATTACATGGAGGAACTGAGATGCTGTTTGCTCCGTAGATTCCAGTTGCCAGACATGGGAGAAAGCAGCAGGGTTCTTGTGGTCACACAGACATGCACCACCCCAGATGCCCAAGGGACAATGGGAGGAATCTCTGTATAGAGCCCATTGCCTTTATGGAAGAATGGAGAGATTTCTGCTTTCACGGCAATATCACTAATAGAAATGAATCCACTCTTGGCCAATGAGGAAGAAGGCATTGTCTCCAGGGATTGATTGTTAATGATGGGGGGCTGGAGCTTTAATGAAGGAGACAAAGCCAGGGGACACTAGGCCTGAGTTACAGCCAACAGGAAAGAGAATAGTGTACCTATGAGAGATCCGAAGGGAAGTGGGTAGAAATTTCCTGAGGGGACATCCACATGTTCCCTGGCCAGTTGGTGAGGCAGCATTACTCCCTAATGAGCCCATCATCTCAGGGCTCAGAGAGAAGTAGCTGACTTCCTGGCCAGTGGTGGTGTGGGCACAGATTCCAAGGAGGAGACCTGGGAAGGGGAGCAGGGAGCTTGCCTAGCCTCCAACCCGACTCTCTCCTTTGCGGACACCTCTCCTCAGCATCCAACCTACCCTCTCTGCTTCTCATCCCTCAGGCCAAGCTTTCCAAGAAAATGGCACCGATAATCAATGTTCCTGGTCCCTACGCTGTGTACCCTTCAGGGGGAGCATGGCTTCTTCTGAACCTGACTCCACTCCGTAGGGGAAAGAGCAACCTCTCTGGCTACTAACTCTTTGAGGTCACCTTCCCCAGTACTCCTCCCCAAGCCTCGTGCCTCTATGGGACAGGTGCAGGATGGGGAGAAGAGGATTTCGGAAGTCACTCACCTGACAGGAGTCGGCCCCGTCGCTGTTGCCCGCACAGATCATGCCATCCGTGACCTGGCCTGGGTAGGCCTCCTCACACTTCTTCTGGGAAATGATCTCCACCTCTGCACAGTTGAGGGTGTCGGGGAAGTTCTCTGAGGAGGAAGAGCTTGTGAGAGAGAGCGGCCCTTTGTGTTCATCTTGGTCTGGCTCTCACCTACCTTTGCCCACCCAAAGCTTGGCACATTTCTCAGGGGCTATCAGTTCCCCCCACACCAAGAAGAGCTGTGCCCCTGGGGAGAGACTTGGAGGTGGCCCCTTGTGTCACCTCTGACCTTCTACCTCCAATGGCACTGCCCTCAGACCACCAGGTTCTCAATTTCTGATTGATCTTCCTTTCTCCAAATGTCACCTCTTAGAAGCCTCCAGAAGTAATGACTAACTAAAACACTAGCCCTCCACCACACTCTTCTATGCCCGCCACAGTAACTCACAGCAGCACTTAACTCTACCTAATATTTTGTTTTGCATTTATTTGTTTATTGTGTATTTTCCCCACCTCGTAAGTGACCCCATTAGAACAGAGACTTTGTGCCTGAGGCATGCTAGATGCCCACTGAATAAATATTGACTTAATTACTGAAAGTGGAATTCTCTTATTAATCTTCATGGAATTCTCTTATTAATCTTCATTCTCTTATTAATCTTCCCAGACATGACTGGGAAAAGCTCCTGTATGCCAGAAACTACGTTTGCAATCTCATGTGAATTTCCCAACAACTCTTTGAAGGAGGTATGCATTATTTAGCCATCCATCCATCCATCCATCCATCCATGCACCCATCCATCCATCCTTCCATCCATCCACCCAGCCATCCATCCATCCACCTATCCATCCATCCTTCCATCCACCCATCCACCCACCCATCCATCCATCCACCCACCCATCCATCCATCCATCCATCCACCCATCCATCCATCCATCCATCCATCCACCCATCCATCCATCCATCCATCCACCCATCCATCCATCCATCCACCCACCCATTCATCCATCCATCCATCCACCCATCCATCATCCATCCATCCAAGAAATATTTACTGAGCACCTACAGTACATAGTTACCATTCCAAGCTCTAGGAACCACAGTGAAAAAAATAGATGTAACTGGGAGCACAGAACTATCCGGTAATGACTCTCAGTGTGCAGAGGAGGAAGGTGAGGGTGGAAGACAAGGAGGGGCTCCCCAGGGAAGAGAAGAGGCAGCGTGGGAACAGGTCTACCTGCTTTGTGAGCAGCTGTGCTTCGACAGCAACACACCGTCTCATTCACAGTGGGAGTAGGACCAGCAGGGACTCCTGTCTGGAGAACCCTACTGCTTGTGTGCTGAGCCCTGATTTTTTTCACCATGAAGGAAGACAAGGGCTTGTCTAGACTCTACTGTCCCCAAGGGATGGCTTCAACAGGGATCCAGACTGAGAAGGGAGTTGGGGACCTGGACCACCAAGTCCTGAGCAAAGAAGGGTGGACTCTTGGGTCAAGGGAAAGATGGGACAGGGCCAGGATCCTGGGTTCAAGGGCAGAAGGGGCTGAAGCGTCTGTTTTCCTGATCCCCCTAGGAGTCCACACATCCTAAGTCTGTTACAGAAGGTATAGAATCCTGGGTAATGAAAGCTGTCTTAGGATAGCACTACCCATCCAAAGGAGGGATTATTTGCAGCCCTGCTGGACAGTCTGTTAGTTCACTCTCTTCCCCACTACTCCTGTCTGGCCTTCCAGGTCTCACTCCTGGGTGAATCCCAACCTCACAGTCACTTTCCCTTCTTTGTCTTCTCCTGGTAGAACAAAGTTTGCCAGTGGCTTGGGGTCCGCTGGGCCAACCAGCTCCTCTTCTCCCTCCCCCGGTGGCCAAGCCCACGCACTACCTCGGGGGCTGGTGACTGTGCCCCAGCCCGATATGGTGCACTTCTGCCCAACTTTGGCACACTGCTTCGCCAGGTCAATGGGCTTCACTTTGGACCCCAGGGATGCCTGCTTGCTTAGTCGGATGAGCATCAGGTCATGATCGTGGTCATCCTTGTTGCTGTTGTTGTAGCAGGGGTGCTGGATGGACTGAGCCACAGAAATGTCTTGCTCCGGTTTGTCCTTACTCTGCAGGCTGTGATCTCCCAGGCGTACCGTGTACCTTCTGGAAATGTGGAGGAGCTTGGGAGCTAGGCCCCTCCTCAATTAGGGCTCAGCCCTCATCCTTCAGGCCCAGGGGTCCAGGCCCAGCCTCCTCCCCACACACAGGGGTCCAGGCCCAGCCTCCTCCCTCAGACCCGGGGTCCAGCTTTCTCCTTTAGGAGCTGAGGCCTCCACCCCACCCTCTTCCCAGTACCCCACCACCCAACATCCACTCACCTCTTTTTACAGTGGGCTGCAGAGAGGACCCACCTGGGGCCCACTAGGACGCCCCCGCAGAGCAGTCGCTCGCCCTGGAACAAGGCCGTCTGCCACGGCTGTGAGTGGGCCTCACACTCATGGCCCTGCAGGACCTTGCTCCCCTGTGCCTCGGTGCGCCCTGCAGCAGGAGGGAGAGGGTTGGGTCGCCACCCTCAGGGGCAGTTCCAGGGCCCGGAAGACCCCTGTGGGTTCAAAGGGACACAGGGCCAGGATTCTGCATGATTCCGCACTCTGCCATCCTGGGCCGGCAGCCTCACTGGGCCACTCAGACACACACATGCACCCCCTGAAGCCCGCTAGTGGTCACCCACGCAACACACACTCTGGCAGCATTCCCTTGGAGTACCCATGCCACCCTCCCTCTGACACGGGCTTCCCATCTCCACCGACTCTCAGAGAGCCCCAGCCACAGGCTTCCCATCCGCGCCCCGGCCCCCGCGTGCCCGCATCCCCCCGGGGGTGCACACGGCTTCCTCAGTACCCTGCTTCCTCAGTGCCTGCCCCTGGCCCTCACCTGCCCAGGAGGCCAGCAGCAAGAGCAGGACTGCCCACATCAGGCTTGCACGGGGCAGGGGGCGTCCCATGGTGGGGCCCGAGAGCTGGAGAGGGTGGGGCGAGGCAGGAAGGGAAGGCCCGACTTCCAGCTCCGGCTTTGGGACTGGGGAGCGAGCGGGGTTCCCGGAGGCGGGTCCTGCCGGAGGAAGATGCAGATCTGGGTTCTCTGGTCTGAGGCAGAAGTGGTATGGGAGTCCCCGTCGCTGAATCTAAGTGCGAGGGGAGGGGTGCCGGAGGGGGGTGTCTCCCACCTGCCACGGAGGCAGGGAACTGGGTCTTGGAGCGATGGGTCTGAGGACAGATGGGAAGAGGAGGGTAGAGGAGGAAGCTGAGGTCTGAGGCCAGGGTCCTGCGCGCTAGGGAAGAAGGAAGGGTCCCTGCGCCTGAGGCCAGCGTCTGAGCACCTCCCACCTCACCTTCCAGAATCCAGGGGCGGGGTCACCTACTGATTCGACCCTGAGGAAGAGGCCCGTACTTCGGTGCTGGCGGCCGGTGCAAGAGTCTGCAGCCTTTTAATCTGGAGTCTCCGCCCCTTCCCCCGCCTCCTGCCGCGGCGGAGCCGGGGAAGCCCCTGAGAACCCTGGAGTCTGTGCCGAGGGGCAGAGGGCCTGAACCGAAATCTTGGGAGGAGGGGATGGAGTCTCGGACTCTGAGGTAAGGGAGCGGAGCGGGGTTCCAGGGAAAGAGCTGGGCCAGGACCCCGGGGCTGAGGGAGGAGGTCTGGGGTCTGGCCCCCAGGGCCCGAGGGAGGAGGGGCCAGGGGCAGAATTCTTACGTCCTTGGGAAGCAAGGGCAGGGAGCCCGATCTTCTCCCGCGGAGGGGGCTGCTGCCAATAACTCCGAATGAAAAAAAAGGCGAGTCCTCCGAGGGCGGACCTGGCCCGCCCGCCTCGGAGGTGAGGGATCTGGGAAGGCAGGTTTGGGAGGCACCGTGACCTCGTTTCCCCTCGCCCGGGGAGTGGCGGGAGCAGCCCCAGCGGGGTTCAAGGGCCTTGCTGCAATAAGGACGATGGAGACATACTGCAGGCGGGACTCACCCGGGACTCGGGCGGGGCGGGGGGAGACCACGTCCTTCGCCCGCCCTCCACCGCCCACCACCGCCCACCAGGCGCCCTCCATCCACAGCGCAAGCCGAAGAAAGGGGCATTTATTGTAAAATAGCCCATTGGCTCAGAAAAGCATCCTCCGGTGGAGTCCCCGCCTGGATTCAAACCCAGGACACGCCCAGGGCAGGGCCGCGAGGGGAGGAGCCGACACTGGTGGAGTTCCACGTGGGCGGAGCTGCTGCGCCATGACGTCACAGGGGCGGATCTTCTGGTGGAGGAGGCGTGGCCAAGAGGAGTGGCTTCTATAGAAGTCCCATTGGGCAAAGTTAGGGGGCGGGACTATTTAGTAGGTGTGATCCTTGGGGCGGAGCCACACCTGGACCTTTCCAGGGGGTGGTGCCAGCTCTCGGTGACGTCCTAGGGCGGGGCCTGGCCACTATGAGGGGGCGTGGCCAACCGTAGTCGGCAACTTGCGGGGGCGGAGACTGAGCATACAGAGTTTGGTCTCCGGGGCAACCGGAGGTCCAGGGTGTAGACTGTTGCGGCAGAGCACTGCAGTGACACCCTACGGGCTGTTTGCCTCGATGGTTTTTCTGATCCACTCGTCATAGTGGCATACGCTAGTATAGACGGTGGGTCGCCGGGGTTTGGAGCAGGGCTCACCACCCCCAGACACCACGCCCGCCAGGGCCCCCTTGCAAACCAAGGGGCCCCCAGAGTCACCCTGTGTGCCGGAGAAGAGCAGGAGAAACTGTTAGGTCCATCTATTCAACGCTATTATAAAGTGCAATCCAAATGTACAGTAAATGTTTAAAGTTTTCATTACAGTAAAAGGCACATTGCTATTAATCGCCCTCAAAATATTCTCCTTCGCTTCCAACACACTTAGCCCATGGTTCTTGCTACTTTCTGAAGCAGTTCTGGAAGTGCTCTTTCATGAGCGTCTTTAGTTGGGCTCTCCTGGCGGCCTGATGCCCTGATTCAATTCAAAATGTTTACCTTTCATGGTCATTTTGACTTTGCAGAGGAGGCAGAAGTCAGGTGAATAAAGTGGGTAAAGGCACACGAATGTTTTTTCTGAGCCTGCCTTTTTTTGGATGGCACTGGCAGCAGCTTTCACCTTATTTTTGATCACTTCTTGTAATGACACGCAGGAAGGAGGACCTTCAGAATTGAGGACGTCCAGAACTGCTTCAGAAAGTGGCAAGAGCGTGGCATAGGTGTACTTGAAGCAGGGACCTGTTCTGAAGGGTTCATCACAATGTGTCTTTTACTGTAATGGGTATTTTAATGTAAACCTTCACCGTATTTTTCAGTCACCCCTTGTGCACAGGTCACATGTTCCTCCCAGGCACCTAGGAGTGTGACTTTCCGTTCTGTTCTCCCTCAGACCCAGGAGTAAAAGCTCAGAGAGCTGCACATCCCCAGGACTCAGAGTCTGGACCCCCAGACCCCTCCTGTTTCAGATCTCAGAGTCTAGGCTTCCAGCGCTCTCCTCCTCCCGCGCCTTCCCCACAGAAGGGTCTCACCTGGCAGGAGCCCAGGCCCCCTTCCCACCGGCCCGCACAGATCATGGAGTCTGAGATGTGGCCTGGATAAGCCCAGTGACAGAGCATGGGCTCCAGGATGCTGATGTTGGCGCACTGCAGTGTGAGCGGGAACTGCACTGTGGGGAGGAGATCACAGAGGGTCAGCGGCCGCGCCCCCCAGCCAGCAACCCCTGCTTTCTGCACCCTCCCTTTCCCCAGGAGGGGAAAGATAGACAAAATGGTGACATAGTTCCAGCACAGAAGAGTAGCAGAAGGACAGGAGAAGGAAGAGAGGGCCAGAAAAACAGGAGTAAAACAGAAAGATGCGAAGAAGAGGCACGTGTGGGATTCACATACTGGGAAACAGACCTCTTAAGGGGAAAGATGCTCAGAGGACACAACGAAGAAATGTGAAAAAACAAGCCCGGGGCATCAAGCAGGAGAGCACAGTGCAATAAAGGGACAGATGATCACTGAGAGGGAGGGAGACGTGGAGGTACTGGATATAGATGAAGCGGGCAGCACATTCAGCAGAGACAGAGAGGGATGTAGAATATGCATATGCATCTCTGTAACACTCTGCTGCAGACTGAGGTGTACCAGGAGCTTTCTCGGTAAACAGCGTGGCCAGCCAGCAGACGGTAGGGTGAGCGGCAGCGGACCTGAATCTGGAGGGAAGGTGTCAGTCTGTACTGGCTTCCCAGGGATTGCTGTCTGGGGAACTATGACTTTTTCAACAGAATCCAGAAACATGGCTTTTACATAAGATGCCCCAGGTCTTAGGTAGCAGTAGCAGCCCATTTGGACTGTTTTTAAAGTCTGAAAACTCATACTGGTTGGCCAGCGGGTTGCCGATGTGGGACTGTGAGAGAAGCGATTTGTCCCAATTCTAAGATTCACATCGCTAAAATCCTGATGTGTCTTCCAATCAGTGGTGTCACACTGCCCATGGGACCTTTCTTTTTCCCCCACTTTTCGCAGTTCATAAAATGATGCATCTTAAGGTTGCTGGCATTTGAGATGTGATGAGATACGTCAGTAGATACAAAGGGAAGAGGAGGAGTCAGAGAACAGACCCTGGGCCGAGACACAGGGAGCGGAGCGTGTCATAGGCAAGGCCGTACCCTTGGGGCTGGACACCGCCCCCCAGCCTGAGATGAGGCACTTAGTGCCTGGGGAGACGCAGGTCTTGCTGATGTTGAGGGGCTGCACAGCAGGTCCCAGACGCGCCGGCCTGGGCAGCCGGATCAGCATGATGTCATGGTTGTGGTCGTTGGCGCTGAGGTCCTTGTTGAACCCCGGGTGGGGGAAGAAGTCTGTAGCCAGGAACAGCTGCTCTGGACCCTCCCACCGCCACAGATGGTGCTCCCCAAGACGGACCCACAAATGCCTGCTGGGACAGACCTCAGGGGTCAGGCCTAGGGGAGGCGGGGGGCGGGGGCTTCTCAGCCCCAGTCTTCTACTTCTGTCCATCAGGGTGGTGTTGGTCTTCCACATGCCTCACGCCCTTTCTGGGTTCCTGCTCCCCTCTGTGACTTCTTGTCTGCCTTGCTTTTGTAGCTTTCCCCGCAAAGCGTCACACTCGTAACTTACCACGCGTGCAAAGTAAGCCTCCCTCCACGCTGCCCCATCTGGAGCCTCAGTGGTGTTCTGGATCCCCTGGGAACCTTGTGGGCCTGTGGGGGCCCCACCTATCCCACAATAACAACCCCACCCCTACCCCCACAAGTCTGGTGGCTTCTGTGGGAGTGACTCTGAGGACGTTTGGGGGTGTGTGTGTGGAAGGGGATGGGATATGGAAAATCCCCTGATTGGGGGTCATCTGTAAACTTAGGCTTTTTTATTTCTCATATCCTTCACCCACCTGGGCGCGTCTTCCTCAGGTCTAACGTTAGGCTCTCGCTCTTCAGTCTCAGCCCACGTATTTTGCTCTGAACAGTTGGGGGCCCTCTGGGGTCTACATTTCCTTTTCTCAGCCTCTGAGCTCTGACATTAGGCACCAGGCTAATGAATGAGAATTCAGTTTCCCAAGTCCTGAGAATGACATGTTACTTTTTTCTCCGTCCTTTTTTGACACGCTTGAGATCTTGGCTCTGGGCTGGGGAAGTTACCCCCTTCACCCCCATTTTAGCCTGTGACTTCTTTCATCTCCATATCACTCTTTATTCCCTCTTTTGTCTTTGGAGCTAAATCTAAACATTGTTCATCTAGCCTGAATTGCAAGCTGGAGTTAAAAGAGATCATGGAGTTGTTCATGATGGGAAATTCCCACACAGCATCCTTACCAACGTTTGTGCTGTATTTTTTGGATAGAAAAATATTAGAACAGTATGGATGGCCCTCATTCAGAGATAATACAGAAGGGATTTCTGTATCATGTAGATTCTATGATTCTATTAGAATACCCAGAATCTAAGATTCAAGAATTCTAAGATTCTAACACTACACTTTCCATGATTCTTGAATTTTAAGAGGCTCAAGTTTGAAAATTTTATGGCTCCAAGATTCTAACAATCTATATTTCTCTGGCTCAAAAAATCCAAGATTTAAAAACTATCTGCATGAAGTCTAATACTTAAAGCGTTTAGAGTTCTAGTATTCTGGGACTGTAAGACTAAAATTTTACCATTATAGAAATGTAGTAAACCTATGTATGGTTTCATAAATTTTAGGGTCTAGAATTTAAATAGTTTAAGATTTCATGACTTTCCCAATTAAAACTTCCTGTTTTTTAAGACTGGGATTATATAATTCTGGGATACTGGAGCACCAGATTCTACATGTTTATGAAAACTGTTTTCCAGAATTCTCTCAGTCAAGGTTCTAGAATTCTATGGATGACAGTATTGTGAATCAAAGATTCTAGGACTAAGTGTCTACATTCAGCAAACCAAGAGCACTCTGAAACTAAGTTTCTAGCATTGTGTTAGCCAGTAGAGCCAGCGAACACCTGAAATGTGTAGTCCAAATTCAGATTGTTCTATGTATGAAATTCACGCTGGATTTTGAAGTCTTACTATAAAAAAGGGGGGAAGGGAAAAGATAACTATGGCATTCATAATTATTGAAAAATAGTTACATGTTAAAATAATATTTTGAGTATGTCTAGTTAAATCTATTATTATATTAGTTTGAATAATTAAGTTCCCCAGACTGGGCTCGAACTTGCAGTCCTCCTAGAAAACTTACGCTTATAGTGGTGAGTGGTGTTACATTTCCCATGAACAGCACTGATCCGGAACACTAAGATTATTCTTATACTCACTGAATCTATGATTCCAGAATTTCATGGGCCCAAGATTTTAGGATTCTATAACTCTGGTTTTCTCAGGGTCAGAGGGTAGCATTTTAACTGAACTTCCAACCAGAAGGCTCTCAGATGGTCTCAAAACTCTTAGAACCGGATATTTCAGGATCTGGAATTTTGGAATCTGGGAAGGTTACCCTCGGTAATCCTGAGTTGGATGTGCAGCATCAAACAAGGAGTGCCTGCTTTTCCTGCCTACTGCTCCTTCTTCCCCTAACAAGGAAGCACCCTCCTCCTCTCCTAGCCCCCCACCCGCTGCCCAGGGCAGCTACTCCTGGGTACTCACGGCTTACGGCAGTGGGCAGCTGTGAGTAGCCAGCGGTCACTGATGAGCGTCGCCCCACAGAAGAGCCGGGTGAGGAAGAAAAGGCCAGCCTGCCAGGGCTGTGAGTTGCGGGTACATTCCTTAGCTCCGATGGCCCGAGTACGTGCCCAGCTGCACCCTGGGGTGGGGTGAGGACAGAGAGGTCGGTGTTGAGCAGGCTGGGAGAGCCCAGGACAGGGTACTGGGAAACGTAGAGGGCAGGATGCAGAAGGCCAGGGCAGGGTGGTGGGCCGCGTGGTGGGAAGACGAGCTGGCCCAGAGGGGCAGTGGGGTGGGAGGCTCACCGGCCAGGAGGGAGAGCAGAGCCCAGATAAATCCCAGCTTCATGACCTCTAAGCGCTGGGTCCTGGGCCAGGCTTGGTATGAGCGCTTCTTTATGGTAAGCCATGCATGGCTTCCTCCTCCCTGAGGCCGCCCCAGTGATTAAGCAGGATTGAGAAATGTCCCCAGGAGGGGAAGCCCCAGGGGTGTGATGGAGGCCTGGGAGGGGAGGTGGGTGCAAGGGACCCCCTCACTGGGATGGGTCCCTGTCGGGATGAGCTGGCCCTGGATGCAGCAGAACCGCAGGAGAGATGGGGCACACAGAGGCTGGGAGTGTCCCCATTCCCCTGACCTCCGGCTGCAAGATCTGGGTCCAGGACCTTCCATGGCCTGGAGGAGGAGGAGCATCCCAAAGGGGGTGCCCTAGGATGGGGGCAGGCTTATTCTGGGTGCAGTGGGGTGTGCCTGGCCAAGCCCACAGCCCAGGATAGAGCAGTGCAGGAAGTCACCCAGAGAGCGAGTAGAGATGGGGGAGCGATCCGCTCGGAGAGGTGGAGGCTCACGGGAGGGAGGTGGGGACCCAGAAGGACGGGGTGAGGAGGAGGGGAAGGCAGGCTGCTGTGCAGGACACAGGCCGTCCCCGCCCCAGGGCTTTGGCCCCTTCCCACAGGGACGGAGGCCTCTCTTGCGGTGTTGGGAAAACTGGTCCCACCTGGATTAACCCACTGCTGTCACAATCTGTCCCCTTCCGCTTTGCCCCATGCCTCAAAGACCCAGGTGCCCCACTATGAGCGATAAAGCACCTACCCCTCTCCCTAACTCCCCCCTTGCCAAATCCTGAGGCCTTTCGTCCTGGTCTTCCGTCCCACCTCCCCCGTCCCCATCACCCATGTTCCCTTCCTCTTCCCCATCTCTCCTTCTCACCAGGTGAGCGGCCCCTGGAGAGCCCAGCCCAGGTCTGACTCATTTCATGTCCCCAGGATCACTCACTTCTGGGCTGGGTTCCCAGGACTCCTCAGAACATGTTCACTGAATGAGTGAATGTCTTTTATTATAGCCTGTGTGTGTGTGTGTGTGTGTGTGTGTGTGTGTGTGTGTGTGAGCTCCTCCCCATCCTTCAAGACCCAACATCAATGCCCCTCTGCTAAGATGTCTTCTCTGATATTTCCTGGAAAAGTCCATCTTTGCCTTCCTTGGGCACTCAAATCCCTCTTCCAGATTTCCATTGCTTGCAGTTCTGCATCTGTCACGTAGCCGTGATAGCCAGGCTGAGGGGCGCTGAGTGAATTCACACACACGAAGCGCTTACGACAGTGCTGGCCACGCGTTTAGTATTCCATCAGCAGGTCCACCCACACCCACGGGTCCTGGGCTGCCTTGACCGCAGTGGGCCGTGGGCAGCAGGTTGCTAGGTTGAGCAGGTTGCCTGCTCTGCAGACAGGGAAGTCCTGCGCCAGCGCCTGGATGTCCACTATTGCTAAGCGATGCACCTACTGCCTTGCAAACCATTTTAGGAGCCACCTGGACTGACGGCTTTCCCTGTGCCTGGCAGTACATACGCGATTCGTATGCAACATCTCCTTAACTTCGTGAGACCCTAACTGAGCAGTGGTCCCCATTTTGCAGAGGGGCCACTGAGGTAGTCATGGATGCAAGGTTACAGGATGACTGAGAAATGCATTTCCTTCCCTGGCTGGTGAACCCATACATATCCTTTATTTTTAAATTTTCAAAAATTGATTGAGTTAGCAGTACCGGGGCTTGAAACTAGGGCCTTTGCACAGAGCTACAGCTCCAGCTTTTTTTATTTTTTGAGACTGAATCTTGCTAAGTTCCCCGACCTGGGCTCAAACTTGCCATTCTCCTGCCTCAGCTTCCCAGAGTCCCAAGGTTACAGGCACACAACGCTGTGCCTGGCTTCTACTTGTCCTTGTTTCTTGTATTTTTGCTGTTGTTGGTTTTTTCCGGTACCAGGAATCGAACTCACGACCTTGCACTTGCCAGGCAGGCGCTGTGCTGCTGAGCTAAATCCCCAGCCCCTCTACTTGTTCTTTACAACCCCACACGAATGTCCCCTCGTGAGAAAAACCTTCAGGCAGAGTTTCCAGACCCTATGTAAGGCGCCTTTACCTCCTTCCCTGTTACGGAGCTTAGCAGCATGTGACCTGTTCATTCAGCAATATGCCAAGGGGCTTCTGCGCCTGACACTCTGGTAAACGGTTAGAAAACAATGAGCGAGCATCTGAGCCCGGGTCCTCATGGACGCCGTGTGTATACACGCACAGGGATGTCACAGAGACCATCAAGAAGCAAACAGCTAACTGAAAGATTTCGGCTTTAATGGTTACACGGCAGAAATAAGCAGAGCGCGTGAGACTGGTGAGTCTTTAGCCAGGGTAATCCAGGCGGGCCTCCTGGAGGAGGCTATGTTTGAGGAAGGAGCTGGATGACAAGAATGTAAGGTTTGCCCGTTTTCTCCCACACCTGACAAGCCGCTTCCTGAGGGTAGGAGTTCGGTGGACCCATCTCCAGTGCCTGGAGGAGGACATGACTCAACACGTGGTGGTGAACGGAATTTAAACGTGAGCTCCCAGGGAGTTCCCACCTACACTGCTTCTGGTCCTAGGGTGACGACCTCACCTGAGAGATCAGACTGACATTTCCTGGGTGTGCTCCCGGGGCGTGATGGGGACCGGCCAGCCGACAGGAAGGGAGCCGGATGCCAAACCCTGCACGCAGGCCTTGCATGCCCAGCTGTGGGCTCTGGGAGCAGGGACCTTGCTGTGCTTGCTACCGTGTCCCTACCATGCAGCCCTGGGCCTGGCATAGAGCAAGTGCTTGAGAAGTGGGTGACTGAAAAGGGGAACAAACAGACTGTACTCCTTGCGAGCTTTGGCGGTGCCTATGTCCAGCTTGGGTTCTGGCTGAAGAGTCCAGGCTAAGTGGAAACGCTCAATACCCATCGGCTTTGCCTGGATTCTGTGTCTAATACCCCTCACCCTGCTCCATTCCCAGCCCAGGATGGAAATATTTACGCAGATATTCAGGGAGGGGAGGACATTCTCTTGTGAGCTCTCAGGACAAAAATCTCAAAGCCAATTAATACCAAGCCAACCAGAGTCCCCACAAACTTCAGAGGGAGGCTTCCGGGCACAGACACTGTGACTGAGGCCCCCCACCTCTGGTTTTGGAGGCAGGGTGGGTTTCCTTGAGCTCCTGTGATCCCACGCACATAGAGAAGGTGCCAGGTGACTCAAACCAACCTAGCTTCCTTCACCACAAACAGTGGGAGGAAAAGAGGAAATTGATAAAAGGTGTCTCCTGAGGCTTGGGAGGGGCATGGGGAATGTGAATCTTCCTGGAGACGGTGTTGGAGGTCTCTCGTGTGCTCTTCCTCCCGGATAGAAGCATCACCACGCCTGAACCAGGAAGGGATCAGGAGGAGTTCAGTCAGTGCTCCCCGATCACCGAGTTCAGGCTTACATGACAACGATCAGAAGGATTCACACGCACACTGCATCATTATCTCCTTGAAACGTGTCTGAGACATAGGCACTTCATCGCCCCCATTTTGCAGGTGAAGAAATCAAGGCCGGAGAGGATACTGGGTGTGTGCCAGGTCACAGAGCAGGAAGTAGTCCAGGAAGCCCGGTGGGTGGGCCCCTGATAGTGTCTCTCACAAGCTGAGTAACTAAACCAGCTTCCTTGCTAGAACAAAATTCTGCCACTGCTTTCTACACACGGGCTCCAGCGTGCGCTGTGAAGAGGAAAGGGCCGGGGTGAGGGACGAGGGTGGGTGGGAACAGGTGTGCATGAGCAGAGAGGCTCCCGTGTGGGGGGAGGAAGAGGGCAGAGGTGCAGGGGTCAAGCGGTCCCGGTCAGTTGGAGCGGATGATTCTCTGGATCCAGTTGGTGTATTTGCAGATCTGGGTGTAGACAGCCGGGTGCTGGACAGAGCCGCAGGGGTAAACGCCCCAGGAGAGGATGCCTTGCAAGGTCTCGTCACACACCAGGGGGCCACCAGAGTCACTCTGGGGAGCAGGGAGGAAGAAGAGACCGCGGCGTGAGCCCTGCCACTTTGCAGTCTGAGGCGATGAAAGGGGGTCAGGGGCAGGAGGGTGGGAGTAGGGTGGATAGAGAGAGGGGGAGGTGGGTGGGTGGGAGCGAGGCGTGGCTTTGGGGTGCACTGGGGTGGGGCAGAGTGGACTTGGAGGTGTGCGTGTTGGGTGGGAGGACGTAGGACTGTGGCTCATAGATCCAGATCCGGAGACAGGAATGTGAGGGGACCTAAGGGTGCGCTTAAGGCGTGAGGAGGGGTTAGGACTGGGGACAGACTGGGGCTAAGGATGGCTGGGGGATGGAGCTGCGGGCAGAGGCAGGGTGTCTCTTCCCCACAGTCTCCCTGTTGTCCCTCCAGGAGTCAGAGATGCTTCCAGGGCCAGCTGTACCTGGCAAGGGTCCTGGCCCTGGTCCAGTCCGGCGCAGATCATGTTGTTGGTGAGTACTCCGGGGTAGAAGACCTCACAGTCTCTGAGGCTCAGCAGAGTGACCTTGGAACAGCTCAGACTCCGGTTGTACTTCACTGATGGGAGAAAAGGCCAGGTCACTCCCGGGCCAGCGCCATCCGCTGGGACCCAGGAGTCCAAATGCAAGGCTGTCTATCCCAGGCCCAGGCCTCCTCCCTTGGACGGGGCTTCCAGGGCCCTCGGTCTTGCCTCTTCGAGTGCTTGTGGTCCCCCAGCCGGCCACGTGGCAGCTGTCTCTCGGGCTGGCGCAGCTATAGGGCAGCCGCAGGGTCCGGGCGCGATGCCCCATCACAGCAGGGCTGCCCAGCTTCAGCAGCATGATGTCGTGCTCATCTGTTCTCCTGGGCAGGATGGGGCCTGAGCCCTGGTGGTACTTGGGGTGAATAAAGGCCTGAGTAGTCAGGCGGAGCTGCTCCCCCTGGAGAAGCAGCAGGTGGTCATCCCCGACTCGGGCCCACAGTGGCCTGGGGAAAGAAGAGGAGGTGGAACAGGGAGGTGGAACATTCATGCAGACTGGGCCATACTGTCTGCATCCCCGGCACGGAGCGGGACGGGAGGGGTCTGAGGGAAGGAGGGGCTGGAGAAGGCGGTCCTGGAATCCCGTGTGAGCTCCTGGGGGCTGGGGATTGAGGCTGGATTCCTGGGTGAGCTCTTTTCCTTTTTCTGCAGTGACAGCCTGCCCCTCCTCCCCAGTGGGGCCTCCTGAGGCACACGTTTTCTTTTAGCTCTAAATTCTCAACTGCAGCTGACTCTGACTTCTTGTCTCTTGCATACACCAAACTATTGCTAAAGGGAACCGGCAGGGGATCCCCTTAACTGACACGGAAGGCCCAGAACTGCGAGAAGGACCACACCGCCTCCTAGCGGTCACAGTGGACTCACTACCTGTCCTACCTTAAGGTAGGGTTAGGGTTAGGGTTAGGGTTAGGGGAGGGCCTCCACGACCAAAGCCACCCAGAGCTCAGAGTCGTAGTGCCCAGCCCCTTCCACCTTCCCTGGGCTGCCAACCCCACTCCCTCCGTGCTATCCTGGAGCAGCGCGCCCTACTTGTTGTTCCAGCAGTGCGCGGCCGTGAGCACCCAGCTGGGGTCCACCAGGACGCCCGCGCAGTGGAATTTGAGGCCGTTGAAGAGGGAGACCTGCCAGGGCTGCGAACCGCGCGGGCACGGGCCACTGGTGTCCGCACTGTAGACGTCCGTGTCGTTCCCAGGCAGCAGCGCCTCCGCGACTGGAGAAAACGGGGGAGAGGGGGCAGGGGAAGCGATCAGAGGACGCAAGGCAAGGGCTGGGGCTGGGGTCTGCGCCGCGGGACTGGAAGGGGTGGGGGCGAAGCCAGGAGGAGAGAAGTAGGGGAACCGTTTGAATAGAGTGGAAGTGGGCGAGGAAAAAGCGTGACAGTGCCAAAGGCGGGGACAGAGTGGAGACAGAAAGGTGTGGGTGCGGAGGAGCCAGGCAGCACGCAGTTAGGGGAGAAAGAGTGGGGCACCAAGGGGGCGGAGTCAGAACCTGTCAGAGTGGCGAAGGGGCGGAGATAGAACGCGGCCGACAGGTGAGGGGCGGGGCGAGAGAGAAGAGGGGCGGTAAGGGGGCGTGGCCAGAGAGAAGGCGGGGATAAGGGGCGGAGTAGAGCCCTGAGCGACGGCGAGGAGGCGTGGCTAGAGCCCAACTGAACGGTTATGGGGCGTGGCCAGAATCAAAAACTGTAGGAGAGAAAGGGTGGGAATACCCAAAGGGGACTGTAAAAGGGGTGAGGGCAAAAAGCGGTAAGATTTGGGATAGAACAGGGCAGAGTAAGAAGGCGCAGGGACAGCATGAGGCAGAGTAAAGGAGAGGAGACAGAATTCCGCGCGGAGAGAAGGGAAGTCGCGATCCTGGAGGTGTAAAGGGGGATGGGGCTGGAACGGGCCGGGACACCCAGGGACGAAGCCGGAGGACAGACACCGAGACGCCGAGCCGCCCCGCTCCGGAACCCTGGATGGGTGCTGGGGTCGCAGGGGGAAAGATAGGTGTAACGGGGCTGGTGATAGAACCTTCTCCACCCCCGGTCTCGGCACCTCCCGCCGCCCCCTGTGCCCCGGCTCACCCCAGAGTTGCGCCATCACTAGCGGAAGCAGCAGCTTCGCCAGGGCCCGGGAGCCAGAGGCGGCAGAAAGGTGGAGGTGCAGGGGTCTCATGGCCGGGCCCTGAGCTGGGGGGCAGGAGGCGGGTTAAAACAGACGATCCTAGTCCGACCCCACCGGGCCACCCCAGCTCGCGGGGACCTTAATTAAGCTGCAGCGGACCGCCGCTGGGACAGTGGGCTACAACAGCCCTGATGGGTACAGTTACCCTAAGGACGCGCCATTGGCTGCCTTCCCCCTCCCTGCGCCCTGCCAGCCCCGGCGCGCCGCCAGGGTCACTGTCCTTCGCAGATGGGGCGAGGCGGGGGGGACCTAGGCTCTGAGCCAGTGGAAGCTCTTCCCAAACCTCACAGTTGGAGGACTTTCCCATCCCTCAGATAAGGAAATCGGGGCTCAAACAGGGCTCCTTCCCATGGGTGGCCTAAGGGTCCCCATCCATCCTCTCCATCCACCCTAGCCAGGGTGGGGTGCATCCCCCTTCACCTGAAAGTCGCCAATAGGAAGGCTGGAAGAGACTCAGAGAGGTGCCTCTACCCTGCTGTGTGGGTTGCCAGAGTCCTCTGCCTGGGGACCCCTGGCCAGACCTTCCCTTTTAACCCTGAAGATCCAGGAAGCTTCCCCTCCCTCCCCGCTGGGGTTCACTCCCTCCCTTTCTCTCTCCTTAATTAAGCTGTGGGTGGGGCTGGCATCCAACCTGGGCCCCAGATTCCTGCCCTGGGAGGGGCCCTGGAATACAGGCTTCTCCCAGTGCCCCAAACACCCTTCTTGGAGCTGAATAACGTGGGGGTTCCCCTTTGCTATTTCAAGAAGTCCTCTCAGGTGTGTGTGTGGGAGGGTATGGGCCCCCAAGGAGACTGGAGGGTAGGCGATAAGAGAGAGGGAAAATAAACAGGGAAATGCATGCCTAGCATGGCCGAGTGAGAAACACCAGAACGCGGAAGGGAAGGAGGCAGGGAGACGCTGAAGGAGGGTAGGAGGGACAGAGACTAGCTGGGGAAGCGGGTGCTGACAATTTGGACGGCAGGCAGAAGCCAAGGCTAAGACATACTGCACAGAGGTAGAAAGGGAACAAAGGAAAACAGGCAGACGATGCTCTGTGACTTGACCCCAACCTCCCACCTCCCTCCAAGGGCTGGAGCACTGGTGGACTCATTTCCTTGTGTCCAGGGACTGGCCCAGTGTTTTGGGCCAGTGGCTCTGCATCATACCGTGTGTGGCCATCTCTCTGCCATCTATGTGTCTTTAGGTGACACACAGGCCTGTGAATCACAGAGGCCCAGTCTGCAAGGGGCATCAACCTCACGTTGGCCAACTCCCTCATTTCAAGTGAGGCCTGGGAAGCTCACAGAGAACAGTGACTCACAACAGGTCACACAGCAAGTCCACCTAACAACCTGACAGCCCTAGTTCCAGCACTGGGTCCTTAACTCCTCTCCGGCAAAGTGAGCAGACTACTGGAAAAGATTCTGAGATCTAGATTTTTCTTTTTTCTTTTTTTTTTTTTGTGGGACATTGTGTCTGTTGAGAGTTAAGTTCAGAGGTTGTCTAGCTTGGTCCTGTCCAATCAAACTTGGTGAAAGAAGTAGTGTTCCACATGTGCTACCCAACACGTGGCTCTGGAGCATTTGAAATGTGTGACGGAGGAACTGCATTTCTGATTTCATGTCACTTCAATTTAAATAGCTATATGTGGCTAGAAGAGATCATACTGGCCAGCACAGGTCTCAATGAACTACCTATCGGGGCTGGGGATTTAGCTCAGCGGCAAAGCGCCTGCCTGGCAAGTGCGAGGTCGTGAGTTCGGTTCCCGGTACCGGAGAAAAACCAAAAAAAAAAAAAAAAAAAAGAACTATCTATCATGAAGGTTGGAAAATAACACACATAGCTCTCTTTTTCAAGTTTTACTGTGGGGACTGACTGACTTTCTACACTGTCATAATATTTTGTGGACAAGTTTACAGGTAAGAAAGGCGAGCCTTGATCAAGGTAGTACCAAAAACCCACCTCATTCAAATCCTTGCTTTCTCACTCAATGGCTGTGCGAGCATGGCCATGTGACTTCACTTTTCCATACCTCAGTTTCCCTCATCTGTAAAATGGTCTAATAATATTGACACCATGGGGTTTAGTGAGCATTAAGTTAGTTGATACATTTAAAAGCCCTTGGAACCAGGATTTGGCACATACTAAGGACTCAGTAGATTCTTTCATTCTTCAAATATTTATTGAAACTTCAGCCTTTGCCAAGAATAGTTTCAGGATCAGGGATAAAATAGACAAAACAGTTATCATTTCTGGTATGACAAATTAGTCCAAGACAGGACCTGAATTCAGGATTCTGAGTCCAAACCCTAAGCTGATTAATAAAGTTGTGGTACCTCATGTAGCGAAGGCAGTCCAAAGGAAATGAACATACTACAGTCTTGACTGAGGGTTTCTTACAAGAAGGAGCAGACTTCAAAACACTGAGATATTGACCGTGTGAGCGGATCCTGCTAATTGTTGTGCATGATCTTCTGAATCCAGTCCACGTATTTGCAGACTTTTGTGTAGACGCCGGGCTTTCTGGAAACGGCACATGGGTCCTGGCCCCAGGAGATAATGCCTTGAAGATACCCGTTACAGACCAGCGGGCCCCCAGAGTCACCCTGGGCAGGAGGAGAGGGAGAGAGCCAGTCAGAGCAGAGGGGTCACGTGTTAAGGAAGCGATGGGGATGGGAGGACTGCAAGGGGACTGCTGACAGGGTGGGGATGAGTTTGGGGAATAAGGGTGGGGTTAGGGTGAAAAATAGTTTGGGGAAGGTTGGGTTGGAAATGAGGGTGGGCACGGGGCCAGGAGTTGTATCCAGGTCTGCAAGGGCAACTGGGGGTGGAGGTGGAGTTAGCCGCAGGGGGGCCGGAGTTGGGCTGGGGGTAGATGGTGGATGTCAGCGGAGATGGGATTGAGGTTGGAGACCCAGCGCCGCCCGCTGACCTGGCAGGAGTCCTTGCCTTTCTGCACGCTGGCGCACACCATGGTGTCCGTGATGTTGCCGGGGTAGGCGCCCTCACACTCCTCGTGTTGGATGATGGAGATGTTGGCACAGCGCAGGGTGTGGGGCAACCGCACTGTGGAAACAGGAGGGGGTGTGGGAACGAGCCCCCGGCTTCCCTGCCCCCGCAGGGCCCACTGTGCTGTCGCCCAGCACCTGGGAGAACCTGGTCCTTTTTATTTGCAGCCGGCTCACCCGTCTGCTTATACCAAGGGCAACAATAATGCCATTGAGTAAATTCCTTACTCCTTATCTCGCTCATCCAACCCTGACAGGTGGGTGTGATTATTCTCTCTCTTTTTTTTTTTTTCTGGTACCAGGAATCGAACTCACGACCTCGCGGTTGCCAGGCCAGCGCTGGGCCGCTGAGCTAAATCCCCAGCGCTTATTCTCATTTTATAGAGAAGAAAACTGAGGTTCCAGGAGATGAAGCACTTGTCTTGGGTCCCACAACTCGCAAGTGACAGATCTGGGGTTACATATCGGGTCTGTCCGTTCCGAGGCCCAAACTCTGGGGAGTCTCCACCCTCCCCAGCCCTGACTTTTCGCTCTGCCTTTCAACGGGTCGTCCCCCGCCCCCTTGACACCCCAGGGAGCCCCTCTTGTGTCACTGGGATTCTCATCTCAGGGAAATTCCTCGGTCCTCACCTCCCGCCCCTCCCACCCCCTCCGTGTTCCCCTACACTGGGGGCTGGAAGTGGTGCCCCAGCCGGAAATGAGGCAGCTGGTGCCGGCGGTGACGCAGCGTGACGGCAGGGCGAGGGGTCGCACAGCCCGGGTGATGCTGGCTGCTTTGGGCAGCTTCACTAGCATGATGTCGTTGCGGTGGTCTTTGTTGGGGAGGCTGTTGTTGAAGTGTGGGTGCGGGAAGGACTCAGTGGCCGTTTGCCTCTGCTCACAGCCATCGTCTTGGTGCAAGTTGTGTCCCCCCAGGAGGACCTGGTAATGGCTGCAGAGGGAGAGAGGGCGGCCAGAAGTGGAAAGGTCAGAGGAGACGTGGGGCAGGGCTGGGCAGGGAGAGATGGTGCGAGACCCCTTCAAGAATGAAGTGGCGTAATTCCACTGCCCACCGTGCCCTCCACGCTGTGTGCCCACTCACTCCCGAGCCCCAGCACCCCCTTAGTGCCAGCATCACCCGCCCCTCCATCTGCACTTCCAGCCCCGTCCCCGACAGCCATGCTGCCACCCCCCACCACCTCCAAACCCTCCCCACATGCGCCCTCTCCCTCGCCCCCTCCCAGCCCCGCCCCAGCCCCCGCACCCACGGCTTGCGGCAGTGGGCTGCTGTCAGGAGCCATCGGGGGGCGATGAGGGTTGCCCCGCACAGCAGCCGTGTCTTCTGGAACAGGGCCACTTGCCAGGGCTGGGAGTGAGGACGGCACGGGTAACCCTTGATGATCCTGGTCTCTCCCCCTACATGCCCTGCATGGTGGAGCGAAACAGGGACTCAGAGAAGAGGTGGGGGGATCCCCAGAAATGAGGGTGGGAGCAGAGAGAGGGTAGTGGTCTGGTCACACTCTGGTGTGCCATACAAATGGGTCCTACTTTAAAGGACTGACGTCTTGCCACAAGGATGGGCCAGGGGACACTGTGCCCCTGGATGTGCTTCGAGTGCTCATCCCCACCTCCCAGCTCCCCTGGCCATGCCCCCGGGACTGCCTGGACCTCCCCCTGTGCTTCTGACACCTGAAGGGTTGACACCTGCTGTAGCCAGTTGCGAACCAGACCCCGGGGAATCCTAGAGATTCCTGAGAGAGGCCCCTCTGCCCCCAGCATGCCGGTACCTGTCACCAGAGCAAGTGTGATCAACCGTAGAATCCTCATAGCCTGGAGGGGGACAGGGCGGGCCTCTGGGAACAAAGAGGGAGACAGGGACCTAATCACTTTAAGGGGAGATCCAGGGCTGCCTGGTGACCTTATCTCTGTCCCTTGCCTGCTCTGGCTACCTGCTTCTCCCTACCCCCGCCTGCTTCCCCTAGGGAGAAACAAGCTTTGGCAAACCTCCTGGTCCCCTCAGCACCCCTGCCTCCCAACCCTTAAGTCTTTGGCCTCCAGTGTGGAGAGGGCTTGGTCCCAGCCGGGGCTTCCGGTAAGCCAAGGAGCTATGGATGCTGTGGAGAGGAGCTTAGCTGGGGCAAGCCTTGGGCTGCCAGCAGCATCTGTGGGGCGGCCTAGGGCATTTTTGAGAATGTTTTTCTTCTTTCCCACTCCCCCTGCTTGGGTTTGGGGGGGGGGGGGGGGGGAGAGCCAGGCCCCACTTGGTAACCACCCTATTTTTGCTGTCCCCACAGCAGGGTGACACAAAACCTTTGAGGTCTGACCCCCACTGGTGAAGGAGGGCACTCTGCAGGACGGTGTCCTGCCCTCTCCTCCTCTGCTGAACCCCTGTGTCTTGGGAAGGTGGCCGGACAGGGCTGGGCGGGGCTGCCCAGGGGGAGGGCCGGTGCCCTCAGCTGCCCTGGCCGGCGGGGGTGGGGGTGAAGGCGAAGGAAGGGCTGTACTTAGCCACTGAAGCTGGGGTCAGAGGTCATCAAGGTTGGGGGCTGCAAGACTGGAAAAGAGGGATGCAGAGAGGGAGAGAGAGACAGAGGCAGAGGCAGAGGCAGAGGCAGAGCTCCGCACCCAAGCTGAGCAGGCGGGGTTGAGGGAGGCAGAGGAGGACTGGCGCTGGGGCTGGCGGACTCCGCAAGGAGCCTTCCCTTCCCTCCTCAACTCACTCACAGGCTCTGGGGCTGGGGCTCTGGGGCCCGGCGGTGGCAGCTGCGGCAGGCTGGGTCAGGGCGCCAGGCACCAGGCAGACGGGCAGGCGGGGGGTGGCCCCGGGCGGGCCCAGGATGACTGGCCTCCAAGCCCTGCCTTATCGCCCCGGGGGCGGGGTGTTGAGGCCTCCTCCTGGGGCGCTGCCCGCCTGCCTCTGTCACCTCTCCAAGCCCTCTTCTCTGCGCCTCCATGGCCCTCTCGCATGCACGCACCTTGCCTGGATCTCTGTGTCGTTCTCTGCGGTCCTGTGATTCTGTGTGTGTGTGCGTGCGCGTGTGTGCGCATGTGTGCGTGTGCGTATGCGTGCGTGTGCGTGCGCCTGTGTGTGTGTGTGTGTTTCTTCTTGCCCTTCCCTCCTCACAGCTTAACACCCCCGGGTGCCTGGGATCCTCTGGATCCCTCCCTCCTCCTTTCCAAAGACTGGGGGGAAACTGGGGCATCACAGAGGTGGGGCTACTGCCAGGTGAAGGGGCAGGACAGGCGGGCGGGGGAGGCAGGTTGGGGCCTGTGGGAGCCAAGGCCCAAGAGGGGCCCTCAATGGGGGCCCCGTCCCAGGGCTCCGCTGGGATCTCACTTGTCTGCTCACCTTCCCTCTGCACCACTCTTCCCACTGCCCAGGCCTCCGATGCTGGCTACCAGAGTCCAAGGCCAGCCGTGGCACTTACTGGATGCCGTGTAACCTGAGCCCGATGACTTCCGGCCTGTGAGCCACCTCGGTTTCCTCATCTGCGAAACCCGGCTGCGGATCCCCACTGCTCCCAGCTGGTGTGTTTTCAGCTAGATCTCTTTGCTGATCGTCCTCTCCTCTCTCCCCTAACCAGATGTGCAACAAGGCGGGGTAGGCCCGGGCCCTGACAGCAGCCAACCCTGGCCTCCAACCCTGGCTCTGCCTCTTCCTACCTCTGTGACGTGGGCTGAGGGACTCCACCCCTGCGAGGCTCAGTTTCTTCATCTGCTCCATGGGGGTGACAGCCCTGCCTTGGGGTGGGGTGGGAGGTGGCATGAGGATTCCAGGAAGGAGCCCAGCGCAGCGGTGCTCAGCAGCGTTCCTGTGCTTCGGTGATTACCCCTCTCTCCTTCAGAGGAAGGTGTTTCCTCCCCACTTCCAGGAGAGATGGTGGAGGTAGAACCTCAGCGATGGGCAGGACCCTTTTATGACCCAGGATGAAGCCGGCAATGGTGGTGGACACCTGTAATCCCAGCAATCGAGGAGGCTGAGGCAGGAGGATTACAAGTTTGAAACCAGCCTGGACAACTTAGTGACTTAGCAAGACCCTGTCACCAAAAAAAAAAGAAAAAAAAAAAAAGGCTGATAATGTAGCTGATAATTTGCACACAAAGGTGTAGACTCAGTGCAAAGGCCATAGGTTCAGTCCCCAGTACTGCAAAAAAAGGGAAAGATTCAGGCTGGGTTCTCTTGTTTTCTAAGACTACATCCCAGCCCAGGTCATCACAGATGTATAAGAACACACCGACATCCCATACAAAGTCTGGTGTGTGCTCAACACGAAAGAGTGGATCTATAGCTGGACAGTGCAGTGAGTGTTTTGTTTTGTAGACATCTCATTAAATGGGTGTGCGTTTTGATTTTGCAGTTTTCAGCTAGTATTTTGGAGCCCACGATTTTCTTTTTTCCCCTTCAGGTTCTTTGCAGGTCACTGAAAACCTTAGCACGCTGGGCGCTATTTCTCTCATGGTCGGTGGGGAAAAGTGGGCCTTGCTTTTCTTGTTGTAGTAATTTTCCCTTCTCCATTCCCGGGGGATCCCTAAGGGAAAATTCCTGCCCTATCTGATGTCGGTTTTGATCCTTCCAGGCTGGGGAGCTGGAATCCCTCCCTGTGGTCTCACACAGCACAGGGACATCAAGCAGACAGACGTGGCCCCTCCTTTGGTTCTGGTACCTTTATTCCACACAGACTTCCCACCCCGTCATGGGTCTCAGAAGGGGTGGCTGGAAGAGTTCCAAGAGGGTCCCCAAACCAACCAGTGTGGGCTTGGCGAGGGAGGAGGAGGTATCGGTGCTGAGGGTCACCGGGGTCAAAGGGTAAGGATGGAGGAAGCGGCTCAGTTGTTCCTCATGATCCTCCGGATCCAGTCCACATATTTGCACACAAAGGTGTAGACTCCCGGGATGCCTTTTTGCCCACAAGGGCCCACAGATCCCCAGGACACTAGACCTTGAAGGACTCCCCCACACACCAGCGGGCCTCCAGAGTCTCCCTGGAAGACAGAAGGAAAAGGAGAATTGCGTGAATAAGGGAGAAGTCCTGTTCCTGCTCCCTCTCTGTCATTCCTAGGCCGTGAGGACCCGGGCTGCAAGTCCGGTCTTGGAGAAATGAGCACAGCCCAGACTCCCTTTCCAAAGGCCAATGGCAATGGCCAGCCAATAGAAAAGAACATACATCCCCAGGGGCCAATCCCAGTGGAGGAGGGTAGGGCTCTAAGGTAAAGGGAAGCAGCTTCTGTTAGGCAATGGCTGAGGCTCTGACCAATGCAGGAAGAGAGCACCATCAACTTTGACCAATCCCAGGGTTGGAGGGCGGGACTCCATAAGCACAGAGGGTTCGCTTAAGGACAATGGCTGGGGCTCTGGCCAATGGAGGGAGAGCACACATCACCAATGACCAATCTCAGAGGAGGAGGGCGGGATTCCATAAGGGCACAGGGTTCTCTTAAGGACAGTGGTTATGTCCCGGGCTAGTAAGGTAGAGCAGCCTCCTTTCTGGGGGACCCAAGTGGGAAAGAACATAAAATCAGAGTCCACTGGCCTTCCTGTCTCTGTCCCCAAATCTGTCACTCTTTTTTTTTTTTTTTTTTTTTAATTTTAAAGAGTAAAAGAAGGATAACATAGTAATAAGGGGGCTTACTGAATTACAGACAAAGTGGTAGGAAATTATCAATGGTTGTTTTACATATTGTTATCTACCAGATAGTTCCTCAGGAAAACAAATAGACAAATAATAGTGAGTTACAGACAAAAGCGGTAGAGATTATCAATGGTTGTTGTACTATACTTTGGTGTCTTCAAAGTGGTTTCTAAAGAAAATAAATAGAGCTATACATGAGTGACCAACTGAGTATTCATTGACTATTCCCAATGGTTGTTGTAGGAAACACATAGAAATAAACATACATCCATTTATGAAATAGCATAGGAACAATAGAAACATTACAGAGTTATGGACAGATTGGTAGGACATTATCAGTGGCTGCTGTAATACTTGGTGATATCTTCAAAGTGGTTTCTCAGAATCTGTCACTCTTAACCTGGGATGGTATGCAGAAGATTTAGTGCCGTAGAAACAGGGGAGTCCCTGTCTGAGCACCAAGTCTAGACAGTTCTTTATCCTCCTATACCCTCTGTCCCTGGTCTGTTTGTCTCTTCCCTTCCCTGTCTTTGTGCTCCCTTACCCTCCTTTCCTTCTCTGTCCCTCTTCTGTCCCCCTCCCTCTGTCCTCTCTCCCTGACCCTTCCATCTGTGTCCCGTCTCTCTCCATCCTTATTCTGAGCTCCCCTCCTTTCTCAGCCCATTTCTCTCCCTTGTCCCCTGTCGCCAGCTCATCTTCCATCAGCTCCCCTCCTGCTTCTGGTCTCCCCATTCCCTTCCCCGCCCCTCACTTCCTGTCTGGGTGAACCGGCCTCAGGCACGCACTCACCTGGCAGGCATCCTTCCCAGCCACACCGCCCGCACACACCATGTTCTCTGTGATTCTGCCGGGGAATACAGCTTGACAGGAGTCAGCAGAGACAATGGAGAGATTGAGGCACTGGAGTCGGTCTGGGAATGGATCTGGGGATAGAAGGCGGGTGCTTCAGGGTCTGTCAGAGCTCCCCACTTTGAGGCTGCACCCCTTTTCCCAAGGAAACCCCATCTAAGTCTGTACTTTGCCCCCACCATCCTACACTACCCTCCTAAAACCCCTGACTTTCAGGTTTACCTTTCAATTTCATAGTGACCCTTGGCCCCAGATTGCTGGCCCAGTTCCCTTGACCTTTGACCTTTAATCTCATTACCTCATGGTCCTGATTCCACCATGAATCTTCTGTCTCCTGACCCTGTGTCCTTGTCCTCATCCTAACCTGGATCCTAAACCTTCATCTCCTGTGTCCCAACTCCAAACTGTCTTCTGATCATTGTTTATTTGACCCCAGACTCCATGAACACAAACCCCTGGCCCCACACCCCAGAAGCTATGACTTCCAACCTCAGCTGTGTGATCAACCCCCAGTTGTTGACTTCAGATTCTGAACAGCTTAGGTAACATCTGGATTCCATGACCAGAGCTCCAGTGACCTCTAACACCTTAACCTGTGACCTACATTCTATTTATAGGTGACCTTTGCTCCAGTCTGATGACCCTGACTGCACTCTGACCTCTGCTCTGACTCCACACACACCCTTAAGCCCTTTGCCCACCACCATCTCGGTCCCCACGCCCCAACCCTGTTGCTGTCCCTCCTCCAGCTGCCGTGGCTCTAGACCTCTCCTCACAGCCCACACCCCTCCCTGCACCCTGATCCTTTACCCCACGGTCGATTGGTGGTGCCCCAGCCCGAGATGTGGCAGTTGGTGCCGGCTGCTGCGCAGGTGCTGGGCAGGGCCAGCGGCTGGACGCTGCGTGTCAGGCGGGCAGGTGTGCGAAGCTTCAGGAGCCGGAGGTCATGCTCGTGGCTCCCCAGTGCTCCTTGGTAGCCGGGATGGGTCACAGAGAGGCCGCTGCGCCGGATCTGCTCCGTCCAGTCCAGCCTGCTGAGGCTGTGCTCCCCCAGGCGCACCCAGTACCTGCTGGGGGGCAGTCCCGGGTCCCTTCGCTGTGGCCTCTCTGCTGCCCTGCACCTTGGTATCCGTCCTCTCTCAGCCACACCCTCTCTACCAGTCTCTCCTCTGGTCTCTGGGTCTTTGTCCCCTGCTCTTTCCACTTGGGGTGTCCCCTCCCCACTAGGCCTCTTTTTGAGGCTCACAGTGAGGACAGGAGGACAGGGACTTGCCTGGCAAGAGCAAGTGTGGCTGGCGCTGCTGACCAAGCGAGCGAGGAGGAAACGGCCTCTCTATCCTGCTATGCCTCCCTGCCTCCAAGCCTCCCTGCCCCTTTATGTCAGGTCTCCCTTTTCATAACGAAACCCAGAGCATCAGACCTGCGAAGTGGCCAAGAGAACCGACAGCTATAGTTCCTGACTGGGTCCAGACTGGGTCAGGGAATGTCTGGGGCTGGTGACAGATGCCACGGGGAAAGGAAGGGCACACGAGGAAATGGGAGGCCCAGGTAGGCAGCTTCCAGGGAACTCCCAGGTGCTCCTCCCGCCCAAGCCCACTCTTGAGAAAGTTCAAGTCCTGGTCTCACCTCGGACTCTCCTATTGCAGGACTGGCTTCCTACTCCTTGGCACCCTCACCCCTGATTCCTATCCGGTGAGTGGCGCCTCCCCACCACCTCCGCTGCCCCCACCCCGTCTTACCTGCTGCTGCAGTGAGCCACAGTGAGCACCCACTGAGGGTCGATGAGGACCCCCCCACAGCGCAGGCTGGTGCCCTCAAACAGCCCCACCTGCCAGGGCTGGGAGTTAGGGATGCACTCGATGCCATTGAAGATCTTCTCTTTGTCTGCCCAGCTGAAACCTGGCATGAGGTGCAGGCCAGAGATGGGGTCAGACAGAAAGAAAGATTGGGGGGTGGACACAGGAGGAGGGATACAGACACGGAGGGAGGGAGGGAAGGAGAGAGAGAGAGAAAGAGAGAAGGATAGAGAGAAAGGGGGGGGAAAGAGAGAGAGAGAGACACCAGAGTGGCCCAGAGAGAAACAAAAAGGGAGAAGAGATCTCTAGAGAAAGTGCAGACATTGACAGGCAGAAGGTGCGGTGGGCCAGGGTACGGACAGACAGGTAAGTAGGACCCAGCCGCTGGGGACCGGGCAGGCAGAGGGATCCCTTCCCATGCCTAGGACTGGGCTGAGGTCAGAGTTGAACTGGGGAGGTGGAGACCTCCTTGGGGTGGGGACGGGGGACCCAGCCATGGTCCTGGCCTCCCGCTATCCACAGAACTCACCAAGAGCACACAGGAACGAAAAGACACCAAGTCTCATGGTGGCCACCTCTAGGGTCTGGGGGAGAGGTGAGGAATCTCAGAGAGTGGGCCCCGTCCCCACCTCTGCCCCATCTTTCTCTCTGTGAAGGCCTCATCCTCCTCCACCTGTCCCCTTCATGCCAGCATCTGCCCCTGCTCACCTTGTGTCTGTCTGCCGAGTCCTGTGGGCTCAGCCTGTCTCGTCTGCCTCTCGGCAATCTCTCTGTCCACCTACCTGCCCGCCACTGTGCCAGCCAGCCCTCCCACTGTCCACCTGGCACCTCTGCCACCTGACATACTGCTCCACCTGTCCCCTTTCCTTCTGTCTGCCTGCCCCAGGCCCCAGGCTGGCCAGGCTTTTAGCTCTTGCTGTGTCAGCCCGTCCAGTTTCCGGGTTGAGGGAAGGGGACAAGAAGGGTGGAGGTGGGGCATGCTCTGATCCCACAGGAGCTCTTTTCTGACCCTAATTGAGCTTCGCAGCTAAACAGAGCAGGGAGGATGAAGACCCAGGGTGGGAAGACACAGCCCCACTCCCGGTCCCTCCTCTGCGGCCAGCTTGCAGCCCGGGGGGTGATGACTCAGGGGGACTGTGCAGCCAGGTTCTAATCCCCACCCCAGCGAGGATGCGCAGAGTGGGTGGGACCACCCCGGCCGACCAGGCACAGGGAGGAGCAGGAGGAAGGAGAGGCTGCAGGAGTGGGGCGAGGTGCACCCACACAGAGAACAGGGAGCCCCAGGAAGAGGAAGGAGAGATAGGGAGAGGCAGGGAGAGTTCCCTGGTGGGGTTCCTTGCAAGCCTCACTCTGAGTTCTTAAATGCACAGCTAACTCTGCTCACCCTGGAGGGCCCCGCTCACGCACACGCACACGCTTACGCACATGCACACGCACACGCCAGTATGAAGTGTATTCATCTAGTTCTGTGAAAGCTTTTCTTTGTATAAGAGCTTCCACTGCTTAAATAAAACCCATAGAGGAGACATAGAGAAATAGAAATGGCAGAGATGGAGAGACAGTGGGGAGGGGAAAAGAAGAAGGAGGGAAAAAGGAGAAAAATCGAGGGATGAAAGAAGTCTTTCCCAGCTTTTCTGAGTTTTCCTCTCACCTGGGAGAAAGGCAGGGAGAGAGAGATAGAAGAGGATTCGGGAAGAGAGAGGGGAAAAGGAACCAGAGATGGTACAACGGGAGGCCACTGAGGGCGGGGCCCTCATCCCCATCCAGTTTCCATCCTTTGCTTTCTCGTCCTGTCTTGCGGCTGTCTGTGTCCTCGCCTGTGTTTGCGGTGAGGAAACTTCAGGGTTTGATTTGTTCTAGAAACCACCTAACTCATCCCTCCCTTTCGGTGGATTTTTTAGAAATCCATTATATTGCGGTGTAATTTACATGCAATAAAATTCACCCTTCAGCCTTGGCGAGCCGCCCTGCTGGATGGCGTGTGGGCCCACGTTGCCAAAACCTCTGACTTTCTCGGGGAAGCTAGAAATGTAGATTTATAGCGGGGTATTTCCTGATCCTAAAATACTGGAAAAAAACAAAATAAAGCTGTGTTTAACAGAGTAGATTCCTCTCTCTCTCTCTCACTCCTTTCTTTCTCATTCTCCTCTTTCTTTCTCCCCCTTTTCTCTATCTCCCCCTTCCCCATGTACAATTCATATAACATAAACATTTGCATTTTAGCCAATTTAAACTCTACAATCCAGTGACTTCTGCCACAATCACGGTTTCACGAGGTTGTACAACCATCACTACTACTTCCAGAACATGTTCACCACTCCCCAAAGAATCCCTTTGCCTATTGATCCGACATCCACCAACTGGTGATAACCGCAGTGTGGGCCAGCCATCCAGTGGACAAAGCCCGGCCCTTCGGCGTGACCTTTGAGGCCCTGGATGATCTGGAGCAGCCCCCTGTTGCATCTCAGCTCTGAACATGGCCTTCCGGAGTCTAGAGATGGCAAATATCTAGAAGGCAGAGGTGCCTTTGTTCACATTGCAGTACCCCTGTCTCATTGTTTTCAAGGAATCCTCACCACTCTGGCAAAGACATTTTGAGGCCCCACCTGCCAGGAAGCCTCCCCACCTGTCCAGGCGCAGTGCAGGGCCCCGTTTCCCCCTGAGAACCTACAGAGGGGGCGGGTGGGAGCACAGCAAGCCAGGGTTCTCATCTGTGCGTTCCTGTGCTCCCAGCATGGGCCTGGGGAGAGTATTTCCGAGTGTGTGAGTAAACGCATATCTGAATGAGCCTCCCCGCCACGGGCCCTCCGATCACCTGCTGTGGCCGCCCCACTGACGCACATGGACCCCCAGCCCGCATTTGTTTGTTTGCAGAGACTGATGATCCAACACCAGCCAAGAAGGGGAGAGAGGGCTTAGTATGCACAGGATGAGGCTTTCTTGGGGAACAGGGCAGATTTCCCAACCTGGTCCAAAAACAGCCTCAGAGGCAATGGAAGGGTAGGGCTGGGGTGAGGGTTGCTATGTGCAGGTTGGGGTTTGTGTGGTCTGAAGGACCACTGGGACTAGCTTTCTTTCTCCCTTCTGTCCTTTCCCTTCCCTTCCCTTCCCTTCCCTTCTTTCCTTCCTTTTCTCCTATCTTCCTTCCTTCCTACATTCCTTGCTTCCTTCCTTCCTTCCTACCTTCCTTCCTCCCTTTTCTTCTCCTTCCTTCCCTCCTTTTCTTCCTCCCTTCCTCCTTCCCTTTCCTTTCCCTTCCTTCCCGTTCCTTCTCCTTCCTTACCTTTCCTCCTCCTTCCTTCCTCCCTCCCTCCCTCCCTTCCTTCCTTCCTTCCTTCCTTCCTTCTTTTGCCCAATACTGAGAATTAAAACCAGTGCTTTTGCACTGAGCTATATCCCGAGCCTGTTTTGATTTTTTAAAATTCTGAGGCAAGGTCTTACTAAGTTACCCAGGCTGGACTTGAATTTGAGATCCTGCTGCCTCAGCCTCCCTGAGATTACAGGTGTGCACTACCACACCTGGTCACACCGGGGTTTTATCACCTTGGGGAGAAGGAAAAGAGGGAAGTAGAAACTTTGATAAGTTATCAGAGGTCAACCATTAGAAAAAATGGAGGTCAGCTCTTTTCGATAATCCACTCAGATGGGCTGATGACCCACAGGTGCCATGTGGCACTTAACTGAATGAGGACACCTGTGCCAAGCCAGTGTGGCATGCTGTGAGCCCCAAAGCCCAAGCAGAAGGAAGGTGCCCATTCCGTCAGGTGCCTGTCCAAGGGCCACGACGGCCTTCTAAGAAGAGGAGGGTGCCCTGGTCACTCCCAGCGGTGTGTAGGATTCTGGAGGGAGAAGGGGCTTCTCCATTTGCCATGGCTTCTGTGTGTGCAGGTGTGTGTGAGCCTGATCAATGTGAAGGACACCTCTGAGGCCAGGGACCCCAGTGTCACTTTCCCCAGGCTGGGTGACTCTGGATAAGGGATTACGGTGCTGCCCTGACCTAACCCAAGTGGGCAGATCATGTGCGATGGCCCAGGATCTTTGGAAATGGGCAGGGGTGCTGAGTGAGTGCCCAGGTGATGGCCTGATGTCCAGCCAGTGTGCTGGGCCCCGTTCATCAGGGACGTCCCGGCTAAGGAGAGAAAAGCAGCGGTTCTCCCAAAAGTCCCATGCTGTGGGAGGGTGGAGCTGTTGTCCACAGGGTCCTGGTTCTCAACTCAAATCCTGAGGACTTTCTGAGTGGCGGGGCATCCAGGGGCACCTGCTGTCTGCAGGAGCTGAGGCCCGGGAGGTCACCCTGTCCTGCTGAATTGTGAAGGTAGCGGAGCCGTGCTGCGTGGGTGGGGTGATGAATCCAGGACTCCAGGCAGAGTGGGCGCCTGGGGACAGAAGTCGCAGGTGCTGAGCCCGTGTTTCCAGGACAGCCCTGGATGGGTGTAGGAGCTGCTTCTTCTCTTCCTGCGTACAGCAGGGTCCAGAGGGTGAGCGCTTGCATCAGAAACCATGGACAACTGTGGCCATTGAGGGTGGTCTGGACTGCAAGGGGCACACAGGAGGGGCCAGAGCCCACAGCAAGGAGGGGGTTCAGGGCACCAGTGGGGTTCTTGCTGTGTTGCATTTGAACAGCTGCTAGGGCCCCACGAAAGTCAGGCCGACAGCATACATGGGCTCGCATAGATTTGCAGATGATGACTATGTTGCCTCCAGAACCCCACAAGTCCTCCCAGGTGTTGCGTTTCTCTTACGCTGTGGGGGCCAAGGAACTTATACTTGTTTCTTGACATTGTCAAAGAGGTGCAGTGGGGAGTATTCTCATTTTACTGAATAATTTTCAAGAATTCAGCTGAGGTGGGGCCTTGTAATCTACATGCTGAGGCTCATGGATTGAACCCAGGGCTTTCACACTGAGCTACATCCTCAGCTCTTTTTGTTTATTTTTTGTTTTGAGACAATGTCTCACTCAGTTGCCGAGGCTGGGCTCAAACTTGAGATCCTCCTGCCTCAGCCTCCCAGAGGGCTGGGATTATGGGCGTGCACCACTGTCCCGAGCTGGCCATCTCCTTGTGCAAGCTCTTTTGTATTTGTGTATCCTAAGGGGTATAGCGGCTGAATCTCCTCAGACACAGGTGTAGGTTATCGGTATAAGGGTCACGGCTCTGCATCAACAACATGATCTCATACGTACTTCTGGAGAAAGCTGGAGACAGTGAGTGTTAGAACTCGGGACACGATACCCTAGAGCATGGAGCTGAGGCTCACGGAGAACAGTCATGCATTGCTTAACTGTGGGGATACGTCTGACAGATTCATTGTGAGTTGACTTGGTCATTGTATACACACCGCACAGTGTGCTTAGACAAACCTTCACACGCAGGTCAATCCCTCCTCGAGGCCCGACTGACCCAGTGTTCTGCTTCAAGAGACTGAACTCTGAATGGAAGGATGAGGAAGGGCCCTGGAAGCAAGAAGATCTCTGATGTTCCCTGCTGCCTTTCTCCTTCCCTGCCTCTTCCCAGAGGCAGGTCACAGACACACCAGCCCTGCTGTTCCCTAAAGCAAGTCACTCTCTGACCCTTTCCCTTCTTTTCCAGAGACCCTCACGGGAAGGGGCTCCTGCCTTCCCCACTAATGATCCAAGGCAGCAAGGAGGCAGGGGAATCTGAATGGACTGGCCCTGCTGGGTTCCCCTCTGGGGTTATTCCCCTCAGACCAGACCCGGTGTGTCCAATCGTGTTTCTACATATAGTGCATTCTTCCTGAGGCTGCTCAGACACACACTGCCTTCCCAGGTCTTTAGTATGTTCTTTCTTTCTTTCTTCATTTCCTTCCTCTTTTTCTTTTTGGTTTTTTTTCTGGTATTGGGAATTGAACTCACTACCTTGCATTTGCCAGGCAGGCGCTTTTGCCACTGAGCTAAATCCCCAGCCCCCTCCTTTCTCTTTTTCTTCCCTTCCCTTTATTTCTTTCCT